CTAAAGCATAATATCGTAAGCCAAAGCCTATTTTTCGCGTGAGAAATCTGTGACGGGTTTTATAGTTTAGTTGTTGAATGAGTTTGGAAACTTCTCTGATCCTAGCATCCGTAAAAATGCAGTTTACAAATTCAGCTGGGGGAAAAGAATCAGAACCTTCGTCTGCTCAATTCCAGTACGCCTGAAAAAGCTATTCCGAAAAAATACTGGGCTGTCAAAATCGCTGTTGGGACAGAGTTTCGAAGATTGCCGCGATAGGACCCGCAGTCACCACATTGATACAGGATCCATTTCCAAACTTTGTAGGGCTATGGGAAGAACCTATGACACTGAACAATAAAACATGATGGTAAACGAATTCCCAGATGGGTTTGATCCCTCCTTCGATGAGTCAAAGGGGGCTAACACATGACCACCGACCATGTCTCGGCCTACCCGAAAAACATTGCGATACTGGAAGGTCGGAGAACAGTGCGAAGCTTCACTGCATCAAGAAGCTCAAGAAATGAAGCATTCACCATCTGCGAATCACTTTTCAGGATGCTGCACGCACTCCATTCTCCAGTTAGAATAGTAAGGGCTTTGAAATGTGAACGGCTATATATTACGGGCCAGTTGAGGTGAGAGATGTTGCTTTATCTCCTCAGTCGAATTTGGTATCAATTGATTAACCCCGGAACGAAGGAAAGCTCGGTCGACTTGGGCGAGAGCCGATCCGGGGTTGGCCCCAGAACCACGCACATGGTAAGTGGCACCACTTGCCACCGCACTACCTCCGCTTCAGAAGAAACTATTAGTATAATGTTATTACATTTTACTGTTAGCTACTGCTCCTGGACTGGTTGAGCAGAATAAGTGAGACTGGAAAAAATGCCTTTTTTAAGCTTGTCCCTAGTATTCTCCAGCTTCTCTCTTCTTGCAACCTCGGCATGTTAGTAGTGAGTGTTTCAATATTCTTGTGCCTTACGAGGTTGTTAGGTGGAACATTTATTAAATGGCCTAACGTTTCGACTAATCGTCGTCTTCAGAGGCCTGAATGTGTTTCAAGCATTAGATATGCAACCTACCCCACCAAGCACCTCGTCAACTCTAGCGGTTCCGACGTCGTGTCAGGAACCCCTCGAGAAGACGCCAATATCGCAAGACAGAGACTCACCAGTGGTTCCACCGTTTGAGCGGATAGGTCCGCGGCCACACTAGAGCGCTGTCAGTAGAAAAATGAAGAATACGACGTCTCCGTATAATGACATATCAGGAGACGCACGTCACGCTCTGTCATTCTACAGTCCGCAGTGGGGTATAAACGGTAGCAGGTCATTTGTGATGGCAGGACACTCATCTCGGTTGTTCATTCTGGGTTTCCTAGTGAATATCCAGAATGCTTCCAACGCTTTCTAGCTGAGAGTTCCGTCTCATTCGTCAGCACATTGCAGGCATTTGTTGGCGAATTCAAAGGTTATGCGGTTGTTCATTCTGGATATTCACTAGGAAACCCAGAATGAACAACCGAGATGAGTGTCCTGCCATCACAAATGACCTGCTACCGTTTATACCCCACTGCGGACTGTCGAATGACAGAGCGTGACGTGCGTCTCCTTGATATGTCATTATACGGAGACAACGTCGTATTCTTCATTTTTCTACTGACAGCGCTCTAGTGTGGCAGCGGACCTATCCGCTCAAACGGTGGAACCACTGGTGAGTCTCTGCCTTGCGATATTGGCGTCTTCTCGAGGGGTTCCTGACACGACGTCGGAACCGCTAGAGTTGACGAGGTGCTTGGTGGGGTAGGTTGCATATCTAATGCTTGAAACACATTCAGGCCTCTGAAGACGACGATTAAGTCGAAACGTTAGGCCATTTAATAAATGTTCCACCTAACAACCTCGTAAGGCACAAGAATATTAAAACACTTGTCCCTAATTTTTTTTGCTACCGTGCGTGATAATACCAGCATATTCAGAGGGTATGAATTCCCTCTGTTGAAGAGGACGTTCGCCCTGCCATTTAATGTTCAGTGAAAGCGGCTGTGAGTAACTTCGTTCTTGCTCTGCGATGATCAGCAACATTTCATTCAGGTTTTTTCCATTCACTCCTACCACATCTATGTTCTTACATCAATCCCTTATCTAATACTCAGCTCATGAAGCTGCTGAATGTGGCAGCGACGCATGTCGACGCAGTGTGGGTTAGATGGCATCTAGGGTATGCATTTGTCCTAGCGAGTAGATGTCGAGAGTAACGCTCCAGCTCTCTGAACTTTAACGGAGGTCGATCCTGTACAAATTCCGAGGAAAATAGGAGGTACTGGGTGTTTCGGAGTTTCCTGCAACCTGGGGTGGCCCAACTTTTAGTACCAGATTTTTTCATGTCCATGCCGAGTGCTTCAATTGAGAAAAAAAAGAAAAAACTTTCCTACGTGATATCCAGAAATGATGTCGAAATTTCCTGGGAAATTCGGTCAGTTCGAGCACTTCAGTAACCCTGCTGTCTCTGCAAATAGTCTTTGCCCAAAAAGGAATGTATACAGTGCGTAACAAAAGTATGTGGACACCTCAAATTTTTGTCCTGCAAAATTGCCTTTGAATTTTGCGATATGAGACCTTTATTGTTGAATTCCTCATAAGCGAAAACATAGGAATACACTACTTCTGAACACTTTGTGGACTACTGAACAATTATTTATTGTTTTGAAAAAGTTTCTTAATAACAAAAGTATGTGGACACTTAACAAAAAACAAATGTATCGTGGAAAATAGAAGTTGGTTCTTCCTCCAGTGTTCACTATTACTTCGAACATTCTGTCTGGCATGCTGTGGACAAGATTTGTCATGGTGTCTTCGTCGATTTCCTCCCATGCAGCAACTATTGCCTCCTTCAAGTCTCGCACGCTGTTGTACTGCCCACTGTTCATGTAGATTCGTCGAACCATGATCCCCACAGGATTTCGGTTGGGTTGCAGTCAGGAGAACACGCCGGCCAATCAATCACTTTGATACCATTGCGTTGGAGCCATTTTCTAGTAGAATTTGAAACATGCACGGCGGCGTTGTCCTGCTGCATCACATGTGTCCTGCGTCGTGGCCCGCTCAGAAAAGGCAAGAGGTTAGACTCAAGCACTCCTTGGTATTCCTCACTGTTCATACAGCACGATGGGAAGGCAAGCTCCAACTTTCCTCTGCTTCCAAAACCACCCCGTACCATCAAAGAGGCGCCTCCGAAATTTCGTCTCGAGAACACCAACGGATCGCTACAAAGGCCTTTCCAGTGATGCTGATATCCATCTGGACCGTCGAGATTGACTTTTTCTTATCAGTGAAGATAACCTAAGAAAGAAATGCGCATAAGATGTTGCCTTTCTGATTTTACAAATATCTCAAGAAACTGCACCTTGTCCCACGACGTCGCCATTTTTGCACGCGCAAAGTTCAGTCTTGCCAGCTGGTGCCTGGCAGTCAGACAGGGAGCTTTCTTTATGGTCTCTTGAGTGATGTGCTCACTTGATCGAATAGAGCCATATTGTCATTTTTGAGACCGGTAGATTCATCGCGGCATGGATCTGTGCCATAGAAAGCGGGGAGTTTGAGGCCATTCTTCTGATGTCTTTTGCGGACAAAGATCGTGGGTGCCTCGAAACAGGTACTGAGTGGTAGCCATCAGGATTCTGGAGGTATATACCAACGCACGTCGCCGAAAGTCCAAGCTATCTTGCAATTTCTCTATTCGAGTGTCCTGCAGCACTGAAAGCTCGAATCCGAGCTTGTTCGTCTTCGTAGAGAGGACTACCACGACGAGGTATGAGTACAGGTTAATGGGGATTAGAGACCATAAAAATGGATTGTAGCTCTGGAGCCAAACTTTGGAATTCCTCAGGTGTCCACATACTTTTGTTATTAAGAAACTTTTTCAAAACAACAAATAATTGTACAGTAGTTCACAAAGTGCTCAGAAGTAGTGTATTCCTATGTTTTCGCTTATGAGGAATTCAACAGTAAAGGTCTCATATCGCAAAATTCAAAGGCAATTTTGCAGGACAAAAATTTGAGGTGTCCACATACTTTTGTTACGCACTGTATGTACAGTCCTCATCATTGCGGACTGTCGGAGGGCGGCTGTGCAACGCGGTCCAAATGGGCGTTCGGCCTCGTTGCTCTACCAATGGCGATCGGGTAAAGATCGATTTAGGGAGGAAGCAACCAATGATGGGAACGCCGCAGGTGCGAGTGATTGCGACCCGACAATTGCGGTGATGCAAAGTGTATGTATAGATATACCATTTATCACTTCAAATCGGACACTTTTCAAATCAAAACGGACATTTTCAAATCAAATCGGACACACCCCTTACAATGGGCAGTTGATAACTAGACCACACTAGGTACTGCTGCAAGCCCCGCCCCAACATCCCCGCCCACTTCTCAGCGCGGTCACGGTTTTCCAAAATGTTTTATGAATCTGCTTCTTCGACTTTTTTTTCACTTTTGCTATTTGGCACACACACTTCAACTGAAAAGGATTAGTACCGACACAGGTCTGACTCCGCCCACTTTTCAATGAAGTTACCGCAAGTTTTGAATTTTATAACTTTTTCGACGTCGTTCTTTTCACATTCAATCTTCACAAAACGAATATACTCATAGCCATGCATTTATACACTAGCACACTAAGCGCCAGTCTATCCACGCCCGCCTTTGGTTTCTCGTGGAAGTTTATTTTTTCTTTCGAATTTTCGCCTTTTTAGGCTGTATAAAGTGGCTCCGCCCACTGATAGAAGCACCGCCCATTCTTGAAAAATGATGCACATCGACAGGTTAGAGTCCATACTGGCAGCTTACGGCTTCTCCCGTCACAGGGAACAAAGTTCTTATTTTTTCCGTTCTGTGTCACCCATTAATCGAAGAAGAAGTCTGTTAAGCAGCTTCTCACCGGCATTTTTATTGAAAAATTCTAAAATTGTTCATCCTGACAAACAGACAATATGGATCATGATATAGAGGAAATCACTTTTTGACCGATTCAATGAACTTCGCCAGTGTGATATCTTTTTGAGACAGACCGCCGCAGTCGTGAGTGCTCAGCGTGATATCCACCTAAAAATAACGGAGCAAAGAAAACTCAGATAAATCTGAAAAATTTAGTAAATTCAGTAGCAAACGAAGCACAATAACTGGAGCAGGAACTGCCCAGTCCAAACAAGTTACACATACTTTATTGTAGACATTGAACCATTCCGGATGGTGATCCATTTTCTCAGCTTTCAACGCCACTCGAGCCATAAAACCAAATGCCTGCAAGGACATTCATAAAGCAGAGTGTTTTCCCCAATATAATTCCTTACTGACGGGATTTCACCTAACGCGGAGACAAAACGTCATGGAAGTCATTAATCAAAGAGTAGAAGCATGTTCTGATGGACAGGCTTGCCACGCTTGCAATACGAGGGGAGGACCGGAAGAACGGAAAGGGGGGCGTGTGTACGGACAACACATGTGGGCGCTGTTTATCGACGGGGGGCATTTTGTATTATAATTGCTTCCCTAGTTCCGGTTTACAAATCTCACTCTGGTAAAACTTGTGAACGCTTGTGAAGCTGGAGCAAGATCGTCTAGCCACCATCCTAAAACGTGTCAACTCGAAAAAAGGGTACCTAGATGGGTTGGCAAATCTATGAAAGCAGAATGCCCCCGTCGATAAACAGCGCCCACATGTGTAAGCCCGTCAAATTTCGGGAACAGATTTTTCATGCGTGGTCGTAAGAAATATTACGAATCAGTGATGACATATCACCCTTCGTTATCTGGTTTTTTTTAGCCTTTTTTTAAATTGTAGTTGCTTCATGTGCCTGTGGTGCATGCAACAACTATATGAATTTATATCTGGTAAGTCGATGGTGTAGCGGAAAGTGGCGCAGTTTACTACGTGTGCAATCCTTTGGATCTAGTCCTCGCCCACTACCTAGGCCAAACAAGTCTTCCATCCTCTCGTGACTGACTAATTGATATTAGAGTTGATTAGGTGTATGAAACCACTGTCTTTTTTACGGCTGAAGCAAATTGTTGCGTAGGGCAAATCGCAGTCAAAATGTCCAAACGATCCCGAAAATCAAAGCGGTTGGCGCATCCGCTTGGCGGATTCTTTGAGCCACCATACATTTGCGTGTAACGGCCGCATGTAACTGTCGTGCCTTTACGAGAAATCACCCGTAAGTACTGGCCCTTACCATTTGTGGGGTGAAAGGGTTCGCAGTTCAGCAGCGTGCCCCATTCGCCAGCGAAAAGTGCACGGGAAGAGCAGGAGAGTAGTGCTACCCGGCTGCCGTCTCCAAACTCCACCCGCGGTGCTGCACAGCTTGCCACATGCCTAACCATAGCCAGAGGCGCCGCTTGTCTGAGCCCTTTCACTTCTGGTTGTTTTGGACCGCTGAGAGCGTGCTCGCTGCGGGACCTCATCAGGGATGCAAGTGCTGCACCTCGAGAATAGCGCGGACGGTTTATGAAGAAGGCACTCGAGTATCACTACCTCCAGCCCTTTTCCATGCACTTTCGAGCTGAAAAAGGCTTTCTACTGCAGCTGCGTTCCCATTCGCCTCTCACAGAGACCGCAATCTATAGAGGTCACTGTACAGTTGTTATTCAGAGATTGAAGGTAATAGGTAGTTATCGCATGATCTACTAGGTGACAGGGTTACTGATGAAGTCTATGAAGAGCAACGACCTCAAAGGAGGTTTAGTTTGGACATCCGAAGTGTGACATTGCGCACAAACTAGCTGACTGTTTCCAAGACTCGGCACTCTGCAACACTGTCCCTTCGAACACGTTGAGATCTAGTGCGAATGCCAAGCAGTGAGCAGTTTGCCATGCTTCATGAGCCCGAAGCGGCGGCTCAGATGTGCTGAAGTGCCCCCCCCCTGAAGAATCAATGGCAAAGCATTTCTGCTGGCAGTGTCTCATACTTCGTCCTGGTGAGCTGTTAAGTCCCCAAAGCATCCTTTCTCAGTTGTAGACCGCGTTCAAATGCTCATCATAATTTCGCGCATATTAGTGGAGTGCAGCGTGAGAAAACCTTTCCAGCGATTTTTTAGGGTAGCAATTATAGGTGTCATACAGAACTAGTAGAACGGAACCGGTAGATTTTTGGTTGAGACTCCATTCCCCTTTCAGAATAACTCCCATTCAGAATAACGATGTCAACTATGAGCTTTTGTTTTACAAAAGCGTGCGATGAGCGATGTGTAGGCCAATCCTCCCCGGGATGCTTCCCCGGCACCTACTAACTGAACGCACAAAGGGAACGACGACTCGGTTAGTAGGCTTTCAGGGAATCCATCCCAAACTGTGCGCATGATAACCAGGGTACAGCATCGTTGTGCGAAACACATGGGGAGGGGGGTCGTACTTGGCCGCTGGGGAGGGGAGGGGATCGTACTGCGTCGTTGTTGGGAGAGGGAGGTCGTATGTGCCTTTGAGAGAAATTAGCCGCGTTGAGAAAAAAAATTCTCCGTTGTTGAGTTTTCGCGGCTTTTCCCGTTTCACATGTGCAGCCCCGCTTGACGGAAAATTTTCGGGTGAAAAACTGGTAGATAGCTGGGAAGTTGTAGGAAAGTGGTAGGTAAGCTGGGGAAGGGTCGTACCAAGACCATTCTTCGAGGGGAGGGGGTTCTTCGTATTGACACCAAAATTTCACACATCAGATGCTGTACCTTGGTCAGGACGACTTCCCCATTTGCAACCTAACTTGGCAAAATTTCCCAAAATTTTGCCATCCAGAGGAGTGGGTTGCTGTGGAACGATAGACGTGATCGACTATTAGCCGAGGATCGCCCAACGACGATGTATGCTGGACTGGAGGTTTGATTGACCTGGAGAGAGGCGGCGCCCCTCTAAAATTTGATTCCAGAACAGCGCGTAGAGTAGGCTGCGCTGTTTGACCTTCGACCTGACAGACCAAGAGAACAACGAAATGAATTGATCGACACAACTAATCGCTTCGAGCGATGCCGCGCTTTCAACTTCCTTTTGGGGCCGTGGAACCATTGGGATGTGTCTTATGCTTACATGCATGATGACCTTTGAAGTCAAAAATTTGAACGCAAACAAGTGCATGGCTAATGACCATCCTGAAAAACGATTATTTTGAGGGAGGCGTCATATCTCGCACAAAAAAAAGCCAAACTGTCGTCTCTACCACTTGCGGTATACGATTTTCAGTGAATCCCGGGATTTCTAATGTTTTATTGAAGTGACAAATGTCTCTTCCCTTCCTAGCAAGATGATCTTTGTTCGAAGCAGAACGGCCCTCTGCCGAGAATATAGTGGTGAGAGGACAATGAGAGGTTTGACGACGCTATTCTCAGTGTGGCCATATCCCGAACTACTGTAAAGAAGCTGTGAACAACCCTTAAACGCGAAACTGGAAGCAAATATGAACCTCATTGAAGTCCTTGAATTGGAAAGATTTTTGCATAGCATCGCGTCCATCGACCATTTTCCATCCTTCTGTCAATAAAGGATTCAAGACCTCCTTCCGCTGTTCCTCAGTGAGCTTCTGGAATGCAGAATATCTTGAACCTCCTTATGGCGCCCAACTTGGGATAATTATGTATGAGAAATGCACGGCGGATGTATACCTTGCATGTGGGTGCTGCATAAGTGATGCTGCAGAAATCGATGAGAAAGAGAGCTGCACACAACAAGTAGGAACTTACCACCATTGTTCGTTTACTGGCCAGGTAACGAGTTGGCTGGATGGAAACACGTTGAAAGAAGGACGTCACGACGGCATAGCTCCGCCCTCTCATCAATGCGCGCAATCTGATGGCATTGATAGCGGTCTGGCGATCGCATACGGCACACGATAAAGATCAGTCAAGAGTGACAAGTACAAAATTGCTTGAGAGTTTCTAATTACACAATTTTGTTCGAAAGGAGCGAAGCAAAGAGAGCTCTCGGGATGGTAAAGTCACGTATGTATGTGAAAATAACAAAGTACCTGTCGAACTAACCCATGCACGAAACCGCCAAGATTTGATTTTAATAAAGTGGCTTCGATACTGCCGAGACGTGATCCAGATATGGACCTACCGGCACTATTGAACTATTCCTACCCCAGTCTGCCGAAATCAGGCCGGTTTTTCACCGAATTTTTTCTACAAGGGCAGATTTGGCTGAAAATTTGCTTATAGGGGTACTTCGACCTCCTGAACACGAATATCACATCCGCCTCGCCCGAAACTGCCTGGCGAAGGCGCCAAAATACCCCAAGTTCGCTGAAAACTTGTCCCAGGGGTAGGTTGACTCCCTGAACATGAATATCACATCCGCTTGGGCCAAAACTGCCTTGGCGCCCGCGCCACAGACGCCGGCGCCAAAACACCCCCAATCACCAAAATCGATGAAAACTTGCATACGGGGATTTGACATCCTGATTACGAATATGACATTTATTCTTGGCGCCGGCGCTAACGTAGGACACTATGGTCATCTGCGCTTTGCTAAGACTGAGCCTGGCCTGAAGGGAACTCCTTTCCCCAGGTTCAGCCTCAGCAGAACGCTAAATGGCGCTGGTATGGAGAAATAAATGCCATACTCGCGATCAGGGCATCAAACAACCCTATTACGCAAGTTTTTATCGATTTTGGGAAGAAAAGGTGTGGCGCCAAATGGCGCCAGCGTCAAAAATAAATGCCATATTCGTGATCAGGATGTCAGTTAGAGCGCGTTCAGAGTTCGCGATCGCGCGATTCACAGACGTTGTAAAAAAAAGGGGGGGGGTCGTACTTGGTCATTGTTGGGAGGGAGAGGGTCATACTTGGTCATTGTTGGGAGGGAGGGGTCGTATTTACTTGTGACCCTACAGTGGTGGTTGTCTTTTGGTGAATTTCCTGTTTCATGCGTACTACATACCCCCTCCCCCACTCGACGGTTCGACGATTTGAGAGGAGGAAGAGGGCCGGACGGGGGG